ATGCATATCATTGCAGTGAAGATCTTGCTTTTGTGCACTTCAGCTCAGTTTCTGCTGCAGACTAGTGGATAGACCTTGCATTACCAGCTTCACTTAAGATGAGTTAAAACCAATCCACACGCACACACACCGAATCATGTACCAGCCTTGCATTTCATGGGGCTGGAGTTTTCTGTGACTCTCAGATTATCATTAAACTATATTTCATCAGGGAGCTTTTATATGCCTCTCCTAAGCACCACCTCTTTGTTTTCTCTTCCTTTCCTCACAGTCCCCCAGCTTATTGGTATATGGCATTTGTAGGCAGGTCAGTTGCACCCTTGTGTAATCCCTAATATAGTTCTGGTTGCAGGATTTACGTGGTACTTTAGTAATTACGTGAATGAATCAGATGTATGTGTCTGGCAGACAGGCTCCAAAGATAAAGGTTTTGAGAGAGTAAAATGCTGAACATGGCACTGAAAGTTTCCTAAATTGAAATGTTGGCTTCTGAAGCATATAAGATTTTAAACATTCAATTTAAATTTTAATTTGAATGATATGTGTGTTTAATCAAGGGACGATAAACTTACCAGCTTGCTTTTAACTAATGCTAACTAAAAAAGAAGCTAGTTAGTATGGGGGGAAAAGGTTACTGTTGAAGTAGTAAATAGTTTTTCACCTTTTCAGCAGATGAGAGTTAGAAGCTTTCTTTCCAGGGTGTGCATGTGTTGTGCATTTTAGTGGGGCCAACCTATTTACCTGGGTAGAGAAGGAAGTGTGAAAGCTTTGTACAATTCATTACTTGACTTTTTTTGTCTCATTGTATAATGAGATGGCAAATAATGCTATTTTTGGTCCTTGGCCAAATATTCAGGAACTCTAGAAAAAAATGCAAACAATTGAAATATTAGATAATAAAGTAATTTGGTTAGAAAATAAAAAGAAAATATTCGTACAAAGGGGAAAATACATGGTACTAAAGCATATCTATAAAATGAAAATATTTTTCATATCGATTTCCTTTATCCTCTTTACATTAAGGCTTTCTTGTGGTCAAACATTTCTCATAGTGTTGCAAAGACACAACTTTGTGTGCTAAAACCAACTCCCATAATGGTATTTTCAGCGTGCTTGTGTTCCTGAACCTTGCAGAGAGGAATGACCAAGGTCTGGACAAAGGCATTTTTCCTTTGTTTAAAAAGCAGTATAAACATCACACCTATTTATCCACTTTCTACCCATACCATCTCTTTGAATTTGGAGTTGTCATACTGTGATATGCTTTTCCTTCCACCAAAGAAAAATTTCACTACAATGTTGAAAAAACTCATGGGTTGCAGTATTTTAAAGGCAGTGGCTTATCAGGATTTCTCTGAAAACACATGCATGTCGAATATTTTCTTGTACAGGGTGAAGGAGATACATTATTGATCTCTTGAAAACTGTGGTTGAACTTGATGGCAGTTCAGCTTTTCCGGTATCTTTCACTCTTTAAAAAAGAGACAATGCAGTTGCCTTTTTCTTTTGGAGGAAGAGCATTCTTGTAGTCTTCTGTATCTCCCACCACGTCCTCAGACCTGAGAGAAGTAAATCCCTGGCTTACAGTGCCTGGTGTTAAGGGCGTAAAGGTGTCCTGTAAATGGCTGAGATGAGGAAGAGAGAATAGCAGTCCCTTTGCATCATGACAAATTTAATCACATACAAATTACTCTCCTTGTCACTCAAATTTGAATAGCACAGTGCACCTCTGATCTATGTCTGTATTAAGCTATATTTGCCATTCTAACCAAGATGACAGGTATTTTAAGTTTGTTGCAATGCTATCCATTTGTTCTCTGGCTGTCAAATTCCAGCCATATATTGTGTCCACTGGAGGCAACTCTACCACTTTTGGATTTAGGCTTTGGTATAGAGATGTAGACGTATTCCCGACTTTATACAGGAGAGTTTGACAATAATGGAGTTTCACGGTGCCACTGCTGTGCAGTGTGACAAACCTTGGCCTCCCATAAAAGTCCGGCAAAATGATCTCCATTGGTTTGTTCACTAGGTGGAAATCTAACTATGCTTAACCATGTTTTCTGTAATATGTAGAGTTTTAATCATTTTGCCATAACAAAGTAATTACTATGCTTTTTCACACCTTGAAAATCCTCTCTCAGTAGACTTCTCTCCTGCCCAGCAAAAGCTTTCAGCCAACCAGATCTTGGTAGTAGGAAGCTGTCAAGAAGGCTAATGTCTGCATTCTGGTATCCCTTTTTTTAACTGACAATGCTGTCATTAGAAAAGTGAGCATCTCACAACAGTCATCCCTCCACTTAGAGCTTCAGTGTTCCTAATCCAGTCTTACTTAGCTGTTGCTTTTTTGAGAAGGATCTAGAACTTTTCTGGGAGAGGTCTTTGTATTTCTTGTACTGTAAGTGAAATCTCTGGTTTTGAAAGGTGGCAGAAGAACAGAGTGAGGCAACACAAAGCAATTGTGGGTTCAGGTATGTTTTACCAGTTTGTCCACTTAAATGTGTATTGACAGGTGCTGCATACTATGATGGGCTGGTTCCCATTTTAAATGCTTATACCTGGGGTAGGTTCAATTCTTTGTCCTGAAGATCACTCCTATGGTTCATGAAAGTTCATGGAATGAAATGTACACAGGAGATTCTTCAGAGCTGCAGATAAGCCAGGTGATTTTTCTGCTTTTAATCCAAGGTTTTCAAAGCATAAAAAAAAGAGGTGTTAATCACTCTTAGAAGACGACTCTTAAGATTCTTCCTGACTGCAAACCTGTTGAAAATCCAATCTATTGATTCATTCTATCTTTTGCAATTTGAACAATTGCCAATTATTTATGAAGAATCTGGTCAGGAGTAGTATAATTTTTGATTGCTGGGGATTTAAACACCAGAAAGGTGTCTATTGCATGAGTTTTCTGTATTGTGGAGCTTAAGAAAGGATGAAATACTACTTCACAGAAGTCATACATCTATTACTACTAGAAAGGACTTTTGAATAACACTGTTTTATTCAGCATCCAGCCCAGCTTCAGGAAGTTTAAAACTACTTCAATAAATTGGAGAAAGTAGTTTATTACCATTGGCCTTAAAAATCCAGTTTTGTAAAGGCTTTACATTAAAGAAAGACTTGCTTCAGCTGTGATGTTGAGGCATTGTGAGCAGACTGATATGACCTATAACAATTCCATTTGCTAAGCACTTAGATGCTAAAAACATCAAAGTATCTGTACTGTGCTCCACTTTTCTCCCTCTGACATCTTTTAGTTGTGAAGTATCTGCTATATATGGTCCTGGAAATAACTGTTGATTGAAACAAAGATGTGATGATTCTAATCAGTTTTCATAGTTCAAGATTCTTAATTTAATGTGCTTGATATCATTACAATTTGTGCTGGGAACTTTGAAGAATCATGAGAATTTCCCACATGTACATTTCCTTTTGAATGATTTAGTGAAGTCAAGAAAATTACTTCATTTGGCCTGTGGACAAAACGTTCGATTTCAACACCTTACTGAGGAGAGGACTTGTCTATTAATAGTTGCCTAAAGATGTGGCCTGTGGATTCTGATCACTTCTACTAGTAAATTACACAAATAGGTGTGGTATTTATATATGAAATTTTGCTGAATACCTGGTCTACTTTGTGCAAATATTTTATTAATCAAATGGAAATACTCCTGCAAAGCTTCGTGATGCAGATTGTCCATCAGTTGATCAAGTGAGCTTACAAACAAGTAGTTCTGTGACCCAAAATGGCATGTTTTCTTTTAAGACTGATAATTTAAGAATGTTTCGTCTTTTGTAGAAGAAATATGACTTTTATACAATAAACAGTTGGAGAGGTCCTTAAGCACCCAGTAACCTGGTTTTAGAACATAATATCCTAGTTGGAAGGGACTCAGAAGAATCATCAATCCATCCCCTGGCCCTGCCCAACATCCTAGTAATCCCACCCTCTCCCTGGCAACATTGTCCAAACACTCAGTGAGCTCTGTCACCCTTGGTGCTGTGACCACTGCTCTGGGGAGCTTGTTCAGTGCCCTACCACCCTCTAGGGGAAGAACCTTTTCCTGATACCCAACCTAAACCTCCACTGACTCAGCTTCAGGCCATTCCCTTGAGCCCTGTCACTGGTCCTGAGAATGAAGTCTGTCTGTCAGCAGGGCACTGAAGGTAGATGGTTGCTATTTGACAAAGCTTCCTGTGACCATGTACTAACTCTGATTGGATGTGGCAAAAGTTAGAAATTGTAACAGAATTTAAAGTTACTATATCTGACAAAAGAGAAAAAAATTGGAATCAGGAACCATACTCAGTTTTGATAGATGTATGCTAGCTTTTTTTCAGGTTGGTCAGTTACATGTGTAATATGCTCTACCTGGTTTATAGCTGTAACTGTGACTTACAGATTTAAAAAAAACAACCAAAAAACACACCAAAAACCAACAAAAAAACCCCACAAAAACAACCAAACAAAAAAACCCCAGCCCCTCTCAACAAACAACAATACAATCTCCCCTCTTCCAAGAACTTGTGAAAACAGAAGCAAATAATGCAATGATATAAGATACACACTTTTGTATTTTTATTCTTATAAGGTTATTTGCTGGCTCTTGTTGGCCTCTAGTTCAGTCTGTGTTATTTAAATTCTAATATATGAATTATTTGGATTGAATTCATGTTCGGGGCCATGGTGTTGTATGTATTGATGTACAGCCTTGAATGTGAATAATTATTGTAAACTATATTTTACACCTCTTTTCTGGCTTTATTATATAAATTTTCTATCGGTCGATGATTTAATCATATCTCATAATTTAATGACTGTTTATTCTCCTCTCGAAGATCTCTGTGCTGTAGATGTGTAGTTAGTGACTGGATGACGGATTTCACTTATGCTTGGTAGTCTGTAATAAAGGCATGTAGGGTCCTGCGCAGCCTCCGCCTCTTCGTTCCGGTGGGTCGAGGTGGGAAGAGGGGTGGACTCGGGGCTCGGAGGCCGCGCCGGGGTTTCTCCCCGAAGAGAGAGGGCAGGGAGCGGCTGCACCGGGCGCTTCCGGGGGGCGGTGCGCCCGGGGCCGGGCCGGTGGGGCGGCCCCTTCCGGCGGCGGCGAGGATGGCGGCGGAGAACCACTGCGAGTTCCCGGTGCCCGTGGCTGGCGGCCTCGGCACGGGCGGGCCCTGCCGCCGCTGCAGCTCCGCGCCGCCGCCCGGCGCGGGGCCCGGCAAGTGGGTGCGGCTCAACGTGGGGGGCACCTGCTTCCTGACCACTCGGCAGACGCTCTGCAGGGACCCCAAGTCCTTCCTCTTCCGCCTCTGCCAGGCCGATCCCGACCTGGACTCGGACAAGGTGAGCGCGGGCCCCGCTGTGGGCCCTCTCCCCTGTCCCCGTTGCGGGCCCGCTCCCCTGTCCTCGCCCCGGGCTCGCTCCCCTGTCCTCGCCCCGGGCCCGCTCCCCTGTCCTCGCCCCGGGCCCGCTCCCCTGTCCCCGCAGTGTGTCCCGTCGGGCGGCCGCCGGAGTGGAGGCAGCGCTGGGCCCGGCGCTGCCGTGAGGGGCGGTGGGAGCGGCTCTACCGCCGCGAGGGCAGTTTCTGAGGGGTGCAATTTAACGAGTCCGTGAGCTTCAGGGGAGCTGAAGTGTAAGGTGGGCTGATGCCATGTGAAACCGTTAGGTTTGTGAATAACACTAATTGGTCATAAATACAACAGAGAGCACAGGATTGTTCATACATTTGTGTGATTTTTTATGTTGTTTGATGGGGTTTAGTTTTAGCATTTTAATGGAATATCTACGTGCATTAACATCTTGTTATTTTTGCACTGTCATCACTCTCTTGTTCAATTTCAAGAACCCGATCAAAGTACTTTTGATAATAACCTCTCACTTGGGCATAGCATTCTCTCTTTCAGCAGTCTGAGAAAAACATTACATATTCTGCATAGATTGCAAATGGTGGGTGATACTGAATATTTCAATATTCATTCTGACTCATTTTTAGTAGGGAAAGAAGAGTTATTAAGATATTATCTATTGTGTGGTATGTGGTAACAAATATAAAGTATTTGTATATAGTACTGGCTCTGGAAATGATTTTGGAGCAACATGAACAAAAAGGGTTTTCCAGTACAGTACTCTTAATGAAAAGAAAGGACACCTTATAACCCTTGAATATATAACCAACACATTTAAAATAAAGAGTTGCTTTTTATATATGAATTTTTTAAATTTTGATTTTTTTAAATATATATCCATTTTTTGATACATAGCCAAGTGAGGCTTGTAGTAGATTTCATTATTTTCTCAGGTATAACTTCCTGGAAGGATATTTGAACACTTAAAAAGGTAGGGAACAGGACCTAGTTCCAGATTTAGAGAAAAAAAAAAAACCAACCTCAAATGTAGTGGTGTGGGAGTGTTTTTTTTTTTTCTTGTTGCCTTTGGTTTGGCTTGAGTGTTTCTGAAGAGCTTAAACTAACCTATAAAAGTAAATTAAAAAATGTAGATGGCTTGCTGATAGGTCAGAAATTGTCTTTACTTGGGAGAGTAAAGGTTTCTCTTAAATAAAAGATAAGGCACTGCCATATGCCCTGGCAGATTGGAAGGCCAGCCCTGGGGGGCATCAGGCACAGCATCGACGGTTGGGCAAGGGAGGGGATTGTCCCGCCTTGCTCTGCACTGGGGCAGCCTCACCTCAAGTCCTGGGCGCAGTTTCGGCACCACAATATCAGAAGAATCTAAAGCTTTTAGAGAGCATCCAAAGGAGGGACACAAAGATGGTGAAGGGCCTTGTGGGGAAGCCATGGAAGGAGCAGCTCGAGTCACTTGGCTTGTTCAGTTGGAGAAGAGGAGACTGAGGGAAGACCCCATAGCTGTCTGCAGCTTCCTTACAAGGCACAGCACCAATCTTGCTCTCTGTGACCAGTGACAGGACCCGAGGGAATGGCTGGAGCTATGTTAGGGGGGATTAGGTTGGATATCAGGAAAAGGTTCTTTTCCCAGAGGGTGGTTGGGCACTGAACTGGCTCCCCAGGGCAGTGGTCATGGCTCTAAGGCTGACAGAGCTCAGGGAGTGTTTGAACACTGCTCTCAGGGACAGGGTGGGATTATTGGGGTGTTGTGGGCAGGGCCAGGACACAAGGGTCATTGATCCAGCTCAAGATAATCTGTGATTCTGTGATTTCCTTAATGATTGCTGCTAAAAAAACTGAAAGACTTAAATAAAGGGAGCAGGTTTGCTTTCAAGCTACCTTCAGGTGCTAATGTTGAGTAGAGTGGAGCAGCCTACGTTGTCAGATACGTTTCCACTTGCAACAGAGGAAAGATTAACCTTGGCACTCCCTGCGGCAAAACTAGTGTTTAATGGAATGAGATGGTGACATAGGTTCTCTGAATTTAGTATGTGTCACAGTGTCATGCTCACGCACAACTTTGTATTTAAGACCTTTAGAGAATCACTTCAGCAAAGGAGTGGTAGTAGTCATACTTACTCTTAACAATAGGATTTGTTTTCTGGAATATTTAAATCTTGCTTCAGAAATGAATACATAAAAATAGAGAAGCAGAGCCTTGCTCACCTTTTCATCATTGTTTAATTTCATGCTTTTACTGCATTATTGCCAGATATTTGTCTATTTCAACACCTCCTACTTTAGCTATATACCAGTTTTTCTTTTACAAACTGGTCTATCAGTCTTTTAACTTTCCCCTAAGCGAGAAGATTGTCAGACTTTCTTAATAAGGTTTTGGCAACAGTATTCATGCTTGATTTTTAGTGCCTTTCTAAAGTTAGATGTATTTGTACTGAGGTGGAATCTGTAGGGGAAGGAAGCAAGCAAGCACTGAATATTTTAGAAAAATCAAAATCTTCCTGGCAGCACATCCTTAACTGTCATTGCTAAGAAATATCTAAATTGTAGTCATTATTCTAAGAAATAACTGAGATATTTCTATATTTGACTAGTTAGTTAGGTTGTGTTACTGATGTAGTTTTGATAAGTACTGGCAGTCTGCTGACACTCAAAGTTTTTAGACCACATAGTTTGTGAAAAATGTGCTCTGGGCAACTAGCTCAAGATTTAAAAAGCACAGAGGGTAGGGGATACAATTATTTCTAAGTCCAGATATAGTGCCAAATATTACTATATTTCTGTGCATATTACTGCTTTAGCAGAACTTGTGCTTGCTCAATATATGTAAATGATGTAATTTTTTAAAATACTCAGCTTGGTGGTGTGGATTCTGAGTGTATCCATTCTGGAAAAGTATTGGTCTCAATGAAGATAATTAACTGGAAATAAATTTATGGCATTTCAAATACTGTTTTAATGCAATTCTTAGGGAGATTGTTAAATGGGATTGGGAAGGTGTATGTATTTGGTCCACTGTTTGAGTCCTACTGGAATCCTGAACCGGACTCTAGTATCCACAATTCAGTGTCACACTAATAAAGAACAAAGCTGTTTTGTTGGCAAGGAGTTTAAGGAGTGACTTCTCAGTCCAGAAGTACATAAATGGAGACTAGAAATCTAATAGTGAAGCCTGTTCAGTCTAGCAAATGTCTATTGTCAGGTCCAACTGTTGAAGTGTCAAACTACAGATGTCCATGATAGAAAGCACATAATGTTAACAGTGAGAGTAATTATTTGTTGGAATGGCTTGAACTAAATGGTTAGGTTTCACTACTTATTTCTAAAGGTTAAATTTCACTATAAATAAATTGAGTCCTATGTGTGTTTTAAACTAAGATCAGGGTAAGTGTTCATTATGATTCTTTTGAACCTCAGTCTCTTTAATTGAAGTGGAAATGTTTGCAACAGGAATACACAATCATTTAAATATTGTGGGCAATATATTTCAAATTCTTTGAAAATACTTGTGTGTTGCTCAACTAGGTGATTGAAAATTTAAGAGCAAATTATTAGGGCTTCCTCTAAAATTCCATGGTATGGGAGAGTGGTGATAAACAAATGCAGGTTCACTGTACCTGAGCAATGCTGTCTTTTAAATGGTGCCCTCATAAGTGCATGTGGAAGAGGTTCTAGGACTTATAGACAAGAAAGGAAAAACTTGCTAGAGATGTAATGCAAAAAATAGAACTGGGTAAAGATACAAACACTTGTGTGATTAATTAGCACTTTTGCTTTGAGTTTTCTTATGAAGAGTGTCAAAATTTGCATGAAACACCTCTGGGGTCAAAATCTGGGGTGATGTGACTACTGAATAGAGGGAAAGTGAGTTTCAGCTGCTGTTCTGGTGAACATTATCACCTGTTTGCATTACATATATACGCACAAGAGAAAACTGAAATCTTATTAGAATATAGATTTGTCTGACATTTGTGGTATTTGCTTGAAGTTCGGGCGGGAAACGTCTTTTAAATACCCACACTAGTTGTTGTCAGTGAAGATTCAAACTTGCTCGAAGCTTGTAGAGGCCTAATTTACTAGTTAGAAGAGGAAATTGCTTAGCTGGGACACCAAAGTCTATTAATATTTAAGCTAGCAACCTAAGGGTAGTTATGTCTGTGCAGACTGTAACTATGTATTTAAATTTCTAGACTGCATGTTAACTGCAGTTTAATATTCTTATCTTAAAATAAAACTTTCTTTTAGAAATTGTCAAAATGCTAATTACACAAGAGAATACAATGTGCTTTCATGTACATGTGGATGAAAACAATCCTGATGATATTCTGATAGACTTATGACCTGTATTTTGAGTGTTCTGGGTAGAGCAGATAACTACACTTCTGTGTCAGATTTTATTGGATTTATGTTTACATAAATATCCTTAAAGATCTAGTGTAATCGGCTTTTCTTAGTGATTTCAACATGAAGTGCTTAGCATATATTGAAGGATATTCAGGCAGCTCATTCTAAAGGAGGAACAATAAGGCATTTTCTATAGGAAGATGCGGAGAAAGTAAATTTTGTGCCCCTTTTGCCTGTGCGTTTTTTGCATATGGTTACACTATTCTTTACTGATTGGTTTTCCTTTTTGGGTGACTCCCTGCTGCTAGTCTGTAGCAAACCGGAGCTGCGAGGTCAGTGTTCAAGACACACATCTTCCTCTCTGGAGTAATGTTAATTAATGCGTGTTTTCCATATCTGTAGACATGTTTGGGTAGGCAGATTTTGCAGGGAATTTACATGCTAAAGTGAGTGCTATTGACAGAATTTGTACTGCACACTGTTAGCATTTAGCCAGAGTTTATAAGTATTGATATTTGCTAATTTCTATTGCATCATAAATTATAAGACTTGTGTGTGCCACCTTCTTTTTTATTATTTTTCAAGACACATTATTGCCTGAAAGGCATCACAGAGTAAACAATGACACTACTGGAATTGCATTTAATTCATATGTAACCTCTCATAAGGTGGAAGTTTAAAGAGAAGGCCTGACATAGCTTCTTCCCTTTGTGATTATGTTGAAAGCTTGTTTAGTGTATATAGAAATCTACTTATGGAAGGGAAATTTCAGATACTGTAATCTGTTTAAAAAAAAAGGAAAAAACAAGAGGAAAGAAAAAAAAAAAGTTCGGGTCCTTTTTTGCAAAGAGTGAAGTAGCCACTGTTACTTGAGATTTCGTTTAGAGCTTTTAGTTACTTTGCTTCCCAGACCCACCTCTCTGTCTCTGTAGTGGTGTAGAGCTGGTGACCAGTATTGCTTCATAAGGTGATGTGAGCAAACACTGTAGTGTAAAGAATTACAATAATCTTATTGAACAAGATTATTTCTAGAGATTTATTTCTCTTAACTGGGGGGACTTCCAGTTTTGTAGGCCCATAGGTTTCTCATATTCAGTTCAACTGATGACCAAATACTGCGCTTTTCTTCTTTAAAACAGTGTTTCTTTTTATCTGTTTTAGATTATACTTTTCAACTTGACTGGTTTCTATTCCTGTACGGAATAATACATTTCAGTTTATAATTCATACAGTTGTCAGCTAATTTAATTTCTTCGGGTTTTATCTGTAGATTGTTCATTCTTGAATTGTTTTGGTAACATAAATGTATTTAAATGTGACATATTAAAACTATACCATCTTATGCACTTTGTCTATCTACTGGTTTTGGTGCATAGCCTCACTTCTGTGAGACCTTGAGTTTAGATGAGAAGAAATTGTGATTAGACTTCATCGAGCATTGTTTGATCTGAGTGTAGGTTAGCTGACATCATGTTTTAATGTATTAAACATTTTCTCGAACAGTTAATTTTATATAAAATTAAACACCCCTTCAGTTCTTCTAAAGTGACAGTGTGTCTAAGTGTGTACAGCATTTAGCTTGTGATTATAGAAAAGTGTTTATGGCTTTTGTAGTTCAGGCTCTGGTCTTTCTACATTCTACCAACCCCAGCTAGACAAGTGCAGTTATTCAGAAATGAAATCCATGTATCTGAAAATATATCCACCATCTTTTTTCCAATTAAGCATTTTTTGGAACTCTAGGTCCTGTTAAGTAGAAAGAGTTTTCAGGTATTTGAGTTCAGTAAGCAAACCTTTATATATAAGCATTAATGTTCAAATGCAAAGGATCGGGTCAGTAGAATTTTCTTTTTTCATGTGGAACAGCAAGTATCACTAGCATATGTGGTTTCCAGGGAGAATGATTCAAATTTAGCTAGGATTGCTAGTAATGATGCTTTTTTGAGTATCTCCTGTAAACTACTAGAATATTAAGAATAAGTAAAATGAGTGTTGGGGGTGCTGCCACATCTTCAGTATGTATTGGTAAGATATTTATTGTGCCAAAACCTAAAGGATTAATACTGTCAGTGATCCATTTGGTAGTAGAAAGAAGCAATAGATCTGTTAGACATATATCTTACGAATCTTCCTTAGACCTCTGGCCAGCGCAAAATATATCAGTACTGCATTGATCACAGGAGTTCATACATAGATTGTAAATAACATAGGAGATACCAATTTTCTCTTTGTCAGGAATATCAGCTCTGGATTTCTTGATATTTTTTGCATTTCACAAAATGCTGTACTCTGTTCAGTAAACTGAGTGTTAGTTAATTTGATCTATTCCTTCACTGTCTGCACGAGGTAGGTAGAAACTGCAACTCCAGTGTACTTTTTTTAGAAAATCCACATACCCTTGCTTGGTACATGGCAGTTCTCAGTACCCTGAGTTTTTGTACATTGGAGCTAAGACAAAACCAAATGATTTTAGAACAAAATGTTGAGGTTAAAAAGAAGTAGGTTTGTTTGCCTTTAATTAAAAAAAAAAAAAAAAGGAAAAACTGATATTTGAACCTTGCTAGAATATAGCCCTTGTTCAGATTTCAAAAACAAAATTCCTCACTTTGTTTTATTTTTAACCTTAACTTTCAGTGTTTTCACTTACTACTTAGATCTTTCATGCTAGCAGTATTTGATACCCTTTGATAAATGGTTGTGGGTGATTAATCAGGTAAGAGAAGTTTTGTATTACATGATTTGAGTGATCAGTCTGGTAAAGTTACAACTACATTGCTGAATTTCTTCCTTTTAATGTCTTTAATAAATTTGACTTTAATGAATGTGGCTACATCTGAATATCTGCTTACTATTCAGATGCCAAGCTGAATATTAGGTTGCAATTCTCACTTGGATGTTCAAATCATTGTGGTTTTTTTGGCTTGTTTGTTTGGGTTTTTGTGTTTTGTTGTTTTTGTTTGGGGTTTTGTTTGGGTTTTGTTTGTTTGTTTTTCTAATCTAGGATGAAACGGGTGCCTATTTAATAGACAGAGACCCAACATACTTTGGGCCAGTGTTGAACTATCTGAGACACGGGAAACTGGTTATTAACAAGGACCTAGCTGAGGAAGGTAAGACATTCCTAAATATCCTTTACCTGTTTACTTGTCCCTTGCTTATTATTTTCACTGCTTTTGAGTCATCAAAACTAATTTAGAACTAGATGGTAAATTTTAATCAGTGTAGCATTTCAATCTGTTTCAAGCAAAGCTGATAGGCATCATACAGTTAATAGTATGTGCTGTTAGCTGAGTGTTTTGAGTATGATTCCTAATTGCACAACACCTGTAAGTATTCAAACAGGATAGGAGATGGCTTTTATTGTGTAGTCTTGTATCTTTCATCTGTGACTGTGTGAAATATTCGGGTTTAGTCCTCTTCAAGCAAAAGAATCCTGCCTGGGAAACAAGATTGGGAGGATGTAAATCAAAGTAAGGGTGAAGGTCTGGGATGTTCAGAAGTGTGGAATATGCTCTTGAAGACTAAATTCTTCCCTCAGCTTCTTCCTCCCTGTCCCCAGTTTGTAACAATTTTACCCTAATGGAGGATGACTGTTTTAAAACATATAGTACTAAAACTGTATTGATAAGGTATGGAAGAAATTTTTCAAAGATAAATACAATTTAACAATATTAGTGGGAAATAGTATGAAATATAATTTCCACATGCATTATTAAGCTCATACTACATGTGGAAAACAGGTAAGCCTTGAACATGTGAGTTGAAGCAGTAACTTCAAGCTTTTGTTTCAGGATCAAATGACAGGAAGAAAAATTTCCTGCATGCTAGCAGCTGCAGAGCTTTTCAGTAGGATTATTTGAATTTCTCTTTTGCATTCCAGCCAGAGGCAGGGCCTGAGCTATGGTTGTCTATCAGTTTGCTGTGGAATGGTGTCTGTGCTCCTTTTTTTGTTTCCTGCCTCATTCTGTGTGTGCAATGGCTTCCGTTTCCTTTGAGGGTTTTTTAGGACAATTTTTTAGAATGAGTTAAACATTGAACTACCTGTGCCTGAAGGAGGCAAGAATCATTAGGTTGGTAAATTATCTTATCATAGGGTAAAATAAATAATTTTTTATAGCTGTAGAGAAGATAATCATAGGAACTGATTGGTGATTTTGTTATGGAATCTTTGGTTGCACTGTCTTTCCAAAAAATGTTTTCATATTAGGTGTACTGGAAGAGGCTGAATTCTACAATATCACGTCACTAATAAAACTGGTAAAGGACAAAATAAGGGAAAGAGACAGCAAAATCTCACAGGTAAGGCTGTTTTCTAGTGTGCTTTTGATTATTTGTTCTATGACAAGCACTGGGTGGGTTCCATGTGTTTTTTATCTAACTGCTCATTTCCCTAGTAAGATACTGAATGGCTCCCTCCATCTCCGGATGAGCTGGAACCCTTAGTATACAAGGATTAATATTCTTAATGGCTGGCTCCTGCCAATCTACTTGCAAAGTTCACAAATCTTGTACAAAACATGAAACAGTCTAAATAATTGCTCCAAAATGTCTGGTAATAGTAGAATTTGTCATATCATTTCTGCAAATACTTGTTTTAGAGAACAGCTTTTTTAGAATATATCTTTCTCGTTTACATTTAAGTACTCTGAATATGATGAAGTTCCCTTATTATGGTACAACTGCTGTTTCTACAGTGTGTTTACGCAGCGTACATACAGATGCTATTTAGCTCCTTTTTTTGTAGCAAAGTTAGGTTCTTTATTTGTAGCGCTCTGTGGTTGAGAAGACTGCTTCTTCTCATAGCAGCTCATGAATGTTTCTCCGTGGAAGTGAATACAATAGAGAAAGTTTGTTCTGTAACTTAGTCTTCGTGGAGATATTCCAAACTCATGTTGCCAGATTTCTCTTGAAGTCAGAATGTGGGATCGCAGGGTTGCTCTGATAGCATTTACTAAAGGTCTCACCTAAAATGGTCCTAGTTATCCATTGCTCCGTATGAGTTCCAGGTGGTGTTGCTTATCATTTCTAGAAGGTAAGGGCTGCTTCAGACAAGTCGCAAACATGGTGAATTCCATGACCTATTGAGCATCTTATATTTCTTCTTGAAGGTGCCAGTCAAACACGTATACAGAGTGCTGCAGTGCCAGGAAGAGGAACTCACTCAAATGGTTTCCACAATGTCCGATGGCTGGAAATTTGAACAGGTAAAAAACCCATTTGGGTTTTTATAGTTACAAAAAGTCTTCTAAAAGATCAGTTTTGTGAAAAAGGAGTATAAAATAAATTAAATTCTGTGCATCTTTTGTAACTCAGTCATTTTCAGAATTTGAGCATACATACACAGTTAAGTTAAAATGTGATACTTGTGTTTGTATTTGTCATAGAACAAAAAAAAAAAATTAGCTTTCCAGGAGGTAAATTGTGCTGACTTTCTTTAGAAACATCTACATCATGTCTGAAATGTAATTCTTCAGTGTCTACACATGAGCAGTTGAAGGGTGAATCAACCAAAATTATCTAATACAAGTTTATGTGAATGGTAATGTAGATATAAAGAGCTCTGAGTAAAAAAACATGAGCTTGGAAGATAAATGTTTGTCAGGCCCAAAGAGTGATTCTTCAGATAGAAAACTGATAGACATAGGAAAGTGGACTTCACCAGTGTGGATGTGGAGCTGGATAGCTGTGAGCTGTGTGAATGTTCTTTGCACTGTATAAAAGTAGCTTTGTGTGTACATTCAAGAATGCATTGTAAAATTGCAAGATGATCTTTGTGTTATTTTTGCCAATCTCTGTAAATAAGAAACTAACTGTACAACTTCTTCATCCTTCACATTCCTAACCTAGCAGAATATTTAATTGCATTGGAACAATGAATCTGTTAACTCTGAGACATGAGTGCTCTGCCGTCAGCACCTTTTTCAGTGTCTGATGCCTAGGAGAGATTGGAATAAGCACAAGTCCGTTATCCTGTGCAGTCTCATTCTAATAATACAACAAAGCAACATTTTTAAAATGTTCAGGACACAAAGGTAAAAGAGAACATTTTGCTTATATTTGCTGAAATACATAAGATGCTGGTGTCGTGGAGACATCCTGAGCAAACAGACAGCTTTTAATTCTTCACTTCTCTGGCTCAAGTATTACCAAGTCTGTTTGCCATGCTAGGAGGTGAATGTTATTGAAGTTCCTGTAAAAAGCCCTCACTTAATGCACAGGAGAAACTAGCTTTCATTATGAACAGAGATTCTTTACTTTTTAAAATAGTAAATGATACCATGGCTTTTACCTATCCTGAAGCCTTACAGTCTTTGGGGATATTTGTATTTGGGAGTAATACTGGTTTGACAATGCAGCTTCTGAAAAAACTGTTATAATCTCTTTTAGAACTGGAAAATTCCAGTGGTTTTCTTGAACATTACGCCCTTGTTTCATTCAGCTTTCTTCCCACTTCCCTCTCTCATGTTGCACTCTTTTAGACACATAGTTTAGAGTAGATAAACACAATAGCTGTGTAATCTTATAATGCTCAGCATCTCATTACCTCACACTAGGCCATTCCCTTCTTTGGTTGTATTGGAGACCTGCTTTTAGCATCCAGCATTCACTTGGAATAGGATTAGTATATTCTGTATAATGTGAACAGTTTTATTGTGAAGATCTGAGAACACTGTAGCATTTCTGTAATTTTTTATCTTTTCTAAGCCCGTGTTGCTCAGCAGCATGCTTCCTTCAGGAGTTTTTGGGGTGGCATCCACCACACTTCATACATGAAAAATGCTGAAATCATCAGCTTTTTCAGAGGAGTGATATTCCTATGGATTGGGAGTCCTTGTGCTCTGAGCCCCATGCAATATGTCTAAATGGTTGGTTTTGATCAAAACCATTTCTTTTCCCCTTAACATTTCAAAATTTTATTGTAAAATATGATTGGATGTGGTAATTAAATAGGAGTGGAAGGTGCTGAACTTTTGGTGCAGTTGTGCAGATGTTTTGATGCCCTTTTCCAAAGAATGTAAGAGAAAGCTTTGCTAGAACAGTACAATTACGTATTAGTCCTACTTCAAAATCTATTACCAAAAATTATGGTGCCCTACTTTTCTGATTTCAGTGGGTTATTTTGTAGAGGATTTTTTATCTTCAATTGTTACTTCTTCAGGCAATCCGAAAAAGCCAATATTTTGGCAATACAACATAAGAAACTTTGGACTATACAAAATTGGTACATACAAAGGCTTTAGACAGCAGTGGTGTTGGTCATGTAAATTTTAATGATTAATGTAACCTGAGCCTGTCACCATAATGCACTCTTAAGCACGTTCACAGTATGAGGAGGACGGTATTTTGCTGCTACCTTCAAAATTATTCACATAACAATATCAGGATGTATATAAATTTGCTGTTCATGGGCCTTCTTATCCATGTCAATTTCAGTTGACGTGTTTTAGTTTACTCAGAATATAGCAGTTGTTGTCTAGTTCTTCACACTTAATTTAAGGCTCTAATCTTTCTCATGGGCACTGACAGGTATGCTTTAATTGAAATGGGCTAGGAATTGCCAAGGATTATTAAGGTAAAATATTTTTTGTAATAACAAGTCTGAGGTTATGCTGAATTTTGAATTATTAGATGGTTGGCAAGTATGACCAGAGTTCTTGGTAGTGGTTTTTATGGGAACAAAACAGACCTTTTTTTTTTTTTCCACTCCAGTTATTTTCTTGGATCTTCTGTAAATGACCCCTTCTGAAAGCAACTTAGAGCACCCAACTTTTAGTCCTGTAGATGACTTCATATGTTTCCTTAGCTGTATTTTGTTGATCAGTATTTGGAACAAGATGAAGCTCTTTCATACCCAGGCTTGATATATTGCTTTACGTAACACCTTCTATCCACGTTACCTTCTCCATTTGGCAAGTGTGACAGGAAAATAACACTCGCTTTCATAGTGCACTGAACTTTATGTTTTTAGAGTAGTTGGCTACACCACAGTGACACGGGGAGTTTTCTGTCTTACTGTCGGTAACTCTTAACTTCCCTTGAAATTACGAAGGTCTTTACAGCTGCCACAGTAATTATTTTTTGTGGAAATGAAGTTGTAGCTTGATAACAACCTGTTCTAGTGCCAAGTAAATGTAACCTGAACGTTTCAGCTCATCTGTTAATTGTACAATTTGGATAATGGTATGTGCTTCAGCTTTACAAAGGTTTCTTTTTGTGTTTTGCTTTGATTGGTTATTTCAGCTTGTCAGTATAGGTTCCCAGTACAGCTGTGGCCGGGCTCAGCAGTCAGAGTATCTGCTGATAGTGTCACGGGAAGTGAAAGGGGAAGAGAGATGCTTCCAGAAATGCTGCAGTGAGGTGTGTCACACCATTCTTTTTTGCCCTCACACTGATATGCTTGGCCTCCTTGCGTTTCTGCTGCTTTCAAATCATTCCACTTTATTCCTGGATGTATAGCACGTAGTAATTTGTGTGTATTTGTGACTGGTTTTTATTTATATTCATGGTATTTCATTATACATTATGAATGTTCATATTGTAAAAAATAATAAAAAATCAACCAAACAAAAATCCCCTAGTTATTTAGTTAAATGTTTTTTTTAGGAAGGGTTCTTACCGTCTCAATAGGTAACTTCTTTTCCTTAAATCTTCCTCTGAATTTAACAGCCTGTCATCCATACTTGTTAAGTAAGAGGAATATAATTCAAACCTTAGGAACCCTTTGAGTTCAGTGGGTTCAGAAGAAGAACACAGATTTCTGTGTTACGGTCAAACTGGGACAATGATTATTTCATCCACCAAATAGCCAGTTAAGTTCTGAGCTTGAACCCTTTATTTCTGGTAACTCAGAACTTAACTGTTTTTTAGATGGATGAAATATGTTCGAACAACAAATAACAGGAATTTTTCATATGGCGGAGTGAGGGGAGAACAAAACCAACAGTTTTAAATTTTGTCTCAAGTGAACAAAACCATCCTGGGTGGCTTTTTGGCTTTATTGTTTTGTTGTTTGGGGTTTTTCTGTCCTGGGACATTTTCTTGAAACCCAAATGGAGAATCCTAGCTTCAGTCATTGGCTTTTTAGGCTCATCCTTCCTTCTCCCCTTGTTCTCTTTTCACTGCTTTTTTAATTGCTTTGTTGCTTCCAAATATTCATGAGTTTGGGAAGGTTTTTTGCTAACCAGTAACATTGGAGGATTTTTTGCTTACCAGTCACCATTTTGCTAACTGGTTAGCAAAAAAATCCAATCTTTTACATGTCTGTGCTCCATTTTGAAGTGTCATATATGAATTAATTTGTGAACCTTGTGCTCTGTAGTATTTTTCATCAATAAAATGCTTGGAGTACTTGTTCTTTTCCTTCCTATATATACGGTTATTCAGTCTGAAAGATGAGTATAACATCATGAAGATAACATGATTGTGAAGCGGCTTTATAAAAGCAGAGTTTTGCCTCTGACTTTACATGGATGCTTAGCCATGCAATTCTAGATTTTAAAAGTGGACTGTTACCCCACTGTATTCCAGAATCTGCTTTTGATGTATCAAGCACTGTCTGTTTCTTTCAGTTGTGTAGGGAACATTTGGAATGTGGAATCAATGCTGTGAGTTTGCAGACTTTCTGGATTAGAATAAGCATTGCAGCTCGTTAGGTATGTGTAGGGTACAGGCAGCATGATGTTATTCATGTGTTCATATCCTAGATAGCTCAAAGTAAAACTCAGCATCATAAAATGGAAGATGGGGAAGGCAGTGAAGAAATTATTCAGGTAATAATAAAATAAAGGTAAAATTCAGGTAAAAATAAAAATAATAATTAATAAAAAATAATAAATTAAATAAAAAATAATAATTAAAAAAATTGAAGGTTTGAAGTCTGATAGTTACTTTAAGAGACCTGTAATAAATGTGCTTTCAGGCCTGGGGTCAGTCATCAGTTCTGAGTTTAAGAGCTGATGTGTCTGTATCTTTATAAACTTTTGCAAATCCTTTGAGAAGGCAATAGAACAAATGCATTATAACTCTAAAAGGCACAGAGGCCATTCTTAGAGTTATACAACTTGATTCTGTAAAAAAATAATGGGGGGAGATGTTTCTTTTATTCTGTCAACTCTTAGTGTAATTAAAAAACTCCACAAGCTTTTCAAGACAAGCTTGCTAGTGTGGAAGAAGTTCAATATATCTGAAATAGAAGCAGTAATATTCTAAGTACAATGATATTTAAAATAGAGTTTGAGAAAAATTTACTTGGTTTTGAGAATTGGGCCATCACAAAATAGAGAAGGAAATTGGTAGTGGTGAAGTAGAAGAGCTGGTTAATATGAGTAACTCCACTGGGAAGCAGAGGAAGACAGGGCTGCTTTTTGTGCAAGTTGGAGTGGTTATGTGAGTTGGTAATACTATTCCCGATTTGTCTGGTAAATATACTATATAGATTTGGAATCAATATTGCTAAACCAATATAGTAAATCTGTATAGGCAGTTACTGAAATGTGTCTGGTTTTGAGATAAGTCTCAGTTCAGTTAGGCATGAGATTTTTTCACTTCGAAAATAAGGTTCCTTACTATGAGACAGGAACTTCCTTATTTTGATTTCTTTGTCTTCTCAGGAAAATCTTTTCAGGACCTCTATTGGCACATCAAGCAATAACTGTATTTCTGTTGATTTAATAATAATAATAATAATGCTTTCCATTCCTGCCTTTTTTTAGTTGTAGCTGACAGCCTGTTAGTGTCATCACCCTTATTCCATTCAGATGGTGAATGGAGCAATATTTATTGAATTTTCTGTGTTAACTAGCATTGGCATTTTCCTGTGCTCAGTTGTGACACTGTTGGGGCTAACAGGGATGCTTGATGAGGATCACACAGCTTTAGTAAGGAGTGTAATGAAACAAGTCATGGAAGGAATAAACCAATGAGGAAAAATAGATACATGTATGCATACATATGGGTATATATAACACCACACAAATCTGTGAAATTCAGAGTTTCAAAACATTCTTTTTTTCCATCCTTAAGTTCTTGGTTGTTTAAGCCCCATGAGCCAAAAAGAGGTTATCTTTTCAGAAAGTCTGGATAATCTGAAATACTTTGACTATGCATTGTAACACCTGTTTTGCAGACCTCAGATTACTCTGATTTGTTGTGGGTTCTTTTTTTGGGCGGGGCATGAGGGTTGGTGGTGTGGGGATGGGTGGACATGGTGGGGGGCAGTCTTCTAGTTTATCAGCATCTTTCTCAGTGTTGCCACCAGCACTGGGAACAATGGGGTGACTTTTGGAATAGGAGTGCTAAAACATTGCTTTATTTTTGATCTTAATTCCTGACACAACAGTTCAGTTCTAATCTGCAGTCATTTTCCATTGTTTCTTTTTCTGCCATCAACCTTATTGCTGATGCATTTCAAAAAGCTGCAATGAAACTTCCGGCATGCTGTTGATACTATGCAAATACATATATATTCTTAGCTGCACACCTACAAAACTGCTTATGGGAGTATCATGAGTTGGAGTTTTGGGGAACCTGTGTTTAATGTTGCAAAAGTGACTTTATCTTGAAATGCACCAGCTGATCAATAATGGCAAAAAAAATAAAATATTTTGCAGTCAGACAAATCCGTAGTCCTGTCCAACTGGCTAATAAGCATTCATTCTGCCATGTCTTCTAAAAAGACTTAATGTGCAAAAGGTTAACTTACCTGGTTGTATTATGAAGCATAGCAAGTAATTATCAACTGAGAACCTGTCAGCCTGGATGAACCAGGATTGGTGATTTGGCTGATGTTTGGATTTTGTATGGTATCTACTTTCAGAGAGATCATTTATTTCTTTAGAGAGTCAATAAGTAAAGAAGTATTTTTTCTTCTGCTAGTTATCATAGCTTATCTGATAGCTGTTGCCATTTTGAAAGAAGAAAAGTTGACTGTATACTAATCCCATTATATGCTTGAATTTTATTCAAATTTCAGAGAAAGTGAATTTTTTTTGGCTTTATTTAAACATGTATTCAACTTTCTGAAGATTTTCTAGCCTTTAAGTGGATTAAAAATACTGTTTAATGTTCTATCTTTTACCTCAATAATTGGAGCAGTTACTGTATTTGTATTTAATGGTTTGTAATTGCAATATAATATATAGGATAAACTTCATACCACTTTGTTGGGTTTAGAGCCAACTTAACTGCTGTTTTTTCTGAACGTTTGTGTGTTATATTTTTTGTTGATAGGGAAGACAATCAACAAATCATCTCAATATATGATGTAACTTTGTGTTGATTTTCCAGCTCTTTTTTCTTAGTCCATTTTGTTCCACTAAGAAACTAGTTACTTTATAGGTTTTGTGATTCTGTATTACTCAAATATGGTATGGTGCAGACTGCAGAGTATCCATCGTGGAAGATTAGCTGACTTAATGTCTCAAGGTAAATGGTGCCTTTATATTGAGTTTGCATTGGTGCTTCTAAAAAACTTCGGGTTTAGTAACTTCATTACACAGTTTTGATGGAAAAAATGTCTTTAGCACATTAATTTTTTGGTCAGTCTGTGTTCATTACTGACTGTGTATGTATTTTGCAGAACTAGAGCGATGTTAGGAGAGGAGGAGGGAGGGAAAGATTTCTGGTGATCACACCCAGACAGTGTAGTTAAAGTACATAATTTGAGAGGATGAATTTTGATGGCCAGTTCTGTTCATGGAAGGCTGAGCTTTGCATGCTGTAATACCATAAGGGTCCAAAATCTTTCACATTGCCTAGGCCTGAAATCAGCTTGGTTCTTTGTGCAGACACGGTGCCTGCTGATCTCTGTAGCCATCGGCTCTGTCCTTCTGTGGAGCTGCTTGCTTAGCTGTCTTAACCACAGTGCAGGAACATTTGGACATCTGTCTCTTCTCCTTAGAAGTACAAAGAGGCTTTAATTTCTCCTGACAGTGCTGTATGGAAGCTGCTTTTAACCTTGGTCTAACTTCCATTTTTGTTGAGGGAATAATCAAGTACAGACTCTGGATGAAGATTTCATACTGACTGCATCTTCCATTCTTTAACAAGGCTTTTACTCTCTGTGATGTTCTACTAGACTAATGGTAGTACAATGTTTGTCTTTACAAAGATAACCACAGTTTTTCAAGTGCTTTTACCCTAAAAAACAAGTCAGGCCTTTTCTACGGGGCCATTACCAGAGCACTTTAATGATATAGTAGAGATTGTGGAATATTTGCCTTATTATATGTGGGTGATGATTTGGTAGGTGGATTCAATATAGTTTTGGTAATGACATTCAGATACAATATCTCTGCAACTGGTTGATTTTTAGGATTGGATCTGTGTCAGTGGTAATAGCATCATACATTATCTTGTCATGGTTTTGAAATAAAACTTTAATGTAAGTGAACCAGCTACATCTGAATTGATTCTGTCTTGGAAAGACAGGCTATGTAAAGCTTCTAGCATTAGGTAAGTGCATTGTGTGTAAAGTAAGACAATTTCTGCCATTTGATAAACATCTGTGTGAGAGGTAGTACTGATATTGAGTATATCCTTTCTCAGTAAATTGTCATTTATCATTCAATATAGAGACTTGTAGAAACTTGTAAATTTGTCACATTTCATTATACATGGCTTTCGCTGGTAGCGCTTCCTTAATTAACTTCCTTGTAGCAGTACATATGAATTTCAGATGTTAATTGGTGTCCCACCATGCTGTGTCTTGCTGTTTTCCGATCAAATGCAAATTTTGTCTTTGTCCATTCAACATATGTCTTAATAGAAATACCATTATTCTGTAAATGGTGGTGAGGATCCCTTCAGCTTCCTGCATGCAGGTGTTTACATGTTAAATCATGCCATGTTAAGATACCATATACAAACTTTTAGAAATTAACTTTGGAGGATATGAAGGTTCCCAGTAAATAACAGAAACAGAACAAGCTGCTTCTCCACTGGCCTGCCTCTGTAGCCTTTTCTTTCACAGTAAAATCATAACTGTAAATCATTAATTCTGTAATTGTTTAAAAAGAAAAGCTGTGTTTATCTTATCATCAGTGTCAATGTATTTGTCAACATCAAAACGTATTTGCATTGAAGTGGAGAATCGTGCTTCAGGCACAACCAACAGTGAAGAGTAAAGATTGTTTTTACTAATGGTGAGACTTTATGGGATTTTTTTAATGTGGAAATGTAATTGACTTTTTTTTTTCATCTTTCAGCTGGTCAGTATTGGTTCTTCCTATAACTATGGCAATGAGGATCAGGCTGAATTTCTGTGTGTTGTCTCAAAGGAATTGCATAACACTCCATATGGCACAACCAGTGAACCCAGTGAAAAAGCAAAGGTAAATTGCTAGACATCGAACTAAAAAAATGATGTTGAATTGGGTGGGCTTCACAAAGTCGTGCTAGATCTACCTCTGCTCTGGACCATTAGTTTTTTCCCCCCCTTGCTCGTGACTAACTCTCTGTCCATTGTATGAGAGACTGTGAATTGTACAGGTAGCGTGCATTACTTGTGCATGCGTGGATTATTTAAATACAATACTCTGTACATTTTCAATACCTGTTTTTTACAGTTGAAAATCAAGGTTTTGTTTCTTATATGTTTGAATGCTTTCTTATTCTGCCACTGGTTCAGTTGAAAACTTTTTCTTGCTTGACTTCAACTGAAGAAATCTTACTGTCAAAAATGGAGCTTGTAAGATGCTATCTCTGTAAAAGGGTCATGTTCAATATGTTATAAGATGAAGGTACTTGTTTGGTTAATGTTTTCAGGGTTCTACCTAATTACTTTTTGTAACCGGCTTTACAAAAGGATTGTAATGGGCACAGTATCTTAGCATTTTACTCAGTTGTCTTTCAGAGTTTGTACAAGGGAAAATGTAAAATCACAGCTGACTAGTGATAAGGCAGAGCAGTTCAGTAATGTAAGAAGTGTATTTTCTGTCATGCATAGTGAACACCTTTTATTATTGTATTGCTGCATTGTATGAGGAGATGACTACAGACAAACTAAACACTCCTTTATCAAAAGCCTTTGATTTCATATATGTAGGTGGAAAACAGTTGGTGAAACATCAAAGGTTGCTTTCTCAAGAATCACCATTGAAGAAATTAATTTTGAAATAATGGATCCAGGTCTTGGCAGTGAGGCCTAAAATAGATAAAACCTCATCACTTTCTGTGCTTTGTAACATGCTTATGTAGCTATGCATATGGAGTCATTTTATAATATGCACTATAAAAATACTCCAAGCTTTATGTTGGATTTCTAGTGAAATTAATAATGTATGTTCTTTTGTCACTGTTGAGATAAAACTTCCAAAGGATTAATGTAGTTAAGGGTCAACAGTGAACCTGGTACTCTTTTTTCAAAACCTTAGTCGAGGTCTACTTTTGCTTCAGGAAAACTTTGACAAGTTAGAGCTGTGTGGTAGTAATTTAGGACTGAGATACCTACCTGAAACAAACCATGGAATTCTAGAGCCTAATAAACATCTTCATAAGGAATGGTAGTACATCTTCAGGGAATTTCAGAAGTTGCCAGAGTTCCAGTGCATCTTTAATGTAAAAGAAAATATGTGTCAAATGGAAGTGTTAAAGGCTAAATACAAAAGCTAGTTCAGACTGCAGTTCAACTGTGTAAACTGAGTAGCTCTGAGAAAAACTGTCTTAGACCTCTTCATTGATGTGCTGCTTGATCATTGTTTCAGAGATGGGAGCAGAGCATAATTTGACCAGCGTGATGAGTAAGAATTACTGTTAATTTTGGTTGGCGATAAAAATATTCATTCCTTTTGTCCTGGAAGAGTTTAGCTGTTGCTAGCAACTAATAGGCAGTACTCGCAGAATAATTTTTATATATTATGTTTCTAATAGATCAGATTTTTTTCACATAGATATATGTTGTGACTGGTAAAAAAAGGGAAAAAAAAATTATTTTGCTTGAGAGGTTTCTGGCAGCTGTGTTCAGGAATCTTGACTGAACCTCTGGAGCTGTTATGCCCATAGTTCCTTCTTAGCATTATCCTCTAGTCTACAATCTGTTCAGTAGTGTCTGAGTTGGTCTTCATGAAGTTCATGTGACTGAAATTCTGGTATCCACTGATATATACAGAATAATATGTTTATGTACTGGGACTGACTTTTAGATGCCATGATAAAGTCTTCCTATTACTTTTATAGCAGATTGGGTTAGACAAAAAAAACCTGCCAGCATGTAATTTTTGTTGACAAGCACTTCAATTTTAGTTAATAGTCCTGGACTTTCAGAATTGAAAAAAGCATTTTCTTATAGTCGTCTATTCACCTTCATTCCTTCTTAGAGACTTTTTCTTGTGTTTTGGTTTTTTGGGTAACAGTGAGCACAGTAAGTTAGTAGATGATTCTGTGTAACCTTGTAATTTACCTAAGCAAAGAAAATTGAACTTGAATGGTTCCAGTGGCTTTTACTGGTAGCTGTGGCACTGTCCCACAAGCATTCTTCTCTTTCATATGACTTTATTGACCGAACACTCTTGGGACTAATAAACAAAACTTGTTCATAATGTCTACATCCAAAGTTAGATACTAGTATTATCCTTTTGCATCCATGGCGAAGAGTACACAGAGTTAAGGTACCAGCGTTACAGTTTTATTTAACTTTTCTCTATACTTACATTCCCTGTTGTTATGTTGCATGGCACTATTGGCTTCTATCTGCTAATTTTAGGACATTTGGAAAAGGAAATTTTCATGAAATCTGTTATGTTCGTTCTTGAAATTGCCAGCTGTTATACTTTTTTACTAAGAGTGGAGGTCCCAGGTAAAAGTAAATAAATATCATTACCAGATGCTTCAGGTGTAAGTGGACTGTACTTTGTTGCAGCTCTGACTCACTTGCAATTTCTTCTTTTCCCTTCCTTTTTCTATACTTGCTGCATGCTGCATGACACTCAGAGTGAGGATGAAGAAACGGATTACGATATGAATGACTCAGATTAAATGTAAATGTCATGGTGAGCACTAGCTGCCCTAGGATTTTAACCAGGTGCTTTTCTGCCCCATCCAGTTCCCACCCCCACTAGTGCTGTCCTTTGGCTAGTCCTGGTGGTGTGTGTGTGTTTGTGATTATAGTTGTAGCATGGTTAGCAAAGATAGAATTCATGTTCTGGATTATTGCTGCTTTGACAGAGTAATAAGTGTTGTTGTTACAAACTGTATTGTGATTCATTCCTTTAAAGCTTTGCTGAGAAGGAAAGTTCATCATATAGATTCTAGTAAATGTCTGATTGGGCAATAATTTAGCACACTTGACTGAAGTGCAGCGTAGTCCAAAGGTGGTCTTATCTGATAATTTTGAAATTAATAATTTTTTTAATTGAGATGTAGCAAATAGAAGTAAATAGTGTGATTGTGGTGCAACAGGAAACAGCTCTCTGGGAAGGGATTCTTTCCACTGTTGTTTGACATTTGATACAAGATGAAGGTACTTTAAAAGTCACAAGTGGAAGAGCACCAAAAAACTTCTATCTGAAAGAACCTTTTCCTAACATGTCTGCAAGCACTGCTCATATTTATTCTGCTCTCCAGTTTCCAGAAGATAACATACCATTGAATGTTCAGTGGTACAGTGTGGGTAGTCACATGAACCTGTATAAATCAGACATTTATCATTGCACGAGATTAAACTTTAGCTTCTTACCTATACACCTGAAATTTTTAGCTGTAAAGCAGCCTTATATTTGTCTCTAAAGTTTGGATAATGCTCCCAAATACGTGGTGTGATTCTTGAGGTTTTCCTGTGCAGGACCGGGATCATCACTTGATGATCCTTGTGCGTCCCTTCCAACTCAGGATATGCTATGATTCTATGAAGTTGTTTCACATAGTGAAGAAAAACCTACATTATTTTCTTAAGTGATGCTAACAGAAAGTACTGCTACAGTAGAGGAAGACCTTTTGCCAAGTCTTCAGGAATGACTGAAGGGAATTAATCAAATCTGAAGTTTTATTGAAAAAAAATAAACTGGCACTATGCTGGAATCAAATGCAATATTCTTAAGCTGCCTGAGGGGAAAACATTCCCTAAAACACTCTTCTAGCAGCAGCACCTTTATTTTGAGTGGGAGGAAATAGTTCTCGTGTTTTGCTTCCCTAAGAAGAATCACGCTCGGGCCTCTAGAATATGAGAGTTCATTAAGCATTGTTTAGAATGTGTAAGTCAACTTTGGATCTGGTGCACCTGTAGGGGAAAACAGAACAGAAACATGAAAACTAGGGTTGGGACAGTCCGAAGTACTAGTACAGACTGGTGACAAATAGGTTGACTGAAGAGGACTTGGGGATACTGATGGGTGAAAACTTGGATATGAGCCAGCAATACTTGCATATTAGAAAGTCTGTTATCCAGGACTGCAACAAAAGCAGCGTGGCCAGCAGGTTCAGGGAAGTGGTACTCCCCCTCTACTCCATTCTCATGAGATACCGCCTGGAGTGCTGCGTCCAGCTCTGGGATTCCCACTACAAGAAAGAAATGGACTTGTGAGACTGGGGCCACAGGAGGGACATGAAAATGGTCTGCGAGCTGGAATATCTCTTCTGTGAAGACAGGCTGAGAGAGTTGGGATTTTTTGGCCTGGAGAAGAGGAGGCCTAGGGGAGGGGAGATGTTATTGCAGCCTTCCAGTACTCAAAAGAACCTTATGAGAAAAATGGAGAAAGACTTTTTTACTGGGGCTCATAGTGAGAGGACAAGGGGCGATGTTTTTGAACATTGGGTTCAAATTTTTGAACCAGTTGTTTTTGACTGGGTATAATGATGAACATATTCTTTATTATGAGGATAGTGGGGCCCTGGCACAGGTGGCCCAGAGAAGCTGCGGCTGCCACATCCTTGGAAGTGTCCAAGGCCAGGTTGGACAGGGCTTGGAGCAACATGGGCTAGTGGAAGGTGTCCCTGCCCATGGCAAGGGTTGGAACTTAATGATCTTTAAGGTCCCTTCCAACCCACCCCACTCTGAGCTTCTTTGATTTCCCCTTTAGTAGAGAGAGAGGTTACCAAAGAAGTAGCAAGCAAAGTGTGTTAAAATATTGCCTATGATAGAATTTTACGTTGAGTTTAAAAGTGTGCAAAGTTCAGTGTCCAGATCTGGCTTAACTTTATCTTATTGCGTGTGCTCCTGACGCTACAGAAAATAGTTCTAAGTATATTAATTTTGTAAGTACTTTTTATCTTCTAGGAAAGAATGCACTCAACTGTTTCAATATTAAATTTGAAAGATTAACAACATTAATAGATCGAATATTATTTTTCCAGCTGCAGCTGCACAGGTATTTGTGTCAGCCATGGTTTTGTCTCTGTTGGATATGGTTTCACTTACTGACCACATTTGCTGGGTCAGACCGTTAGCCATTCTTCTACTCCAGGACCTTGTTCTCACCTGTGACCAACAGCAAATAACTCGAGGAAAAGAGTTTTAAGTATGAAGCATTTATGGTATTTACTCCTGATACATTTCCCCACCTTCCAGTAAACCTCAGTTTAGGAATTTTGGCTTCATGCCTTCATCCAAAAGATTGTATGGAAGCTACAATGACACTGTAACACCATGAGTCAGTATCAGTGGCACTATCTTCTGTAAGTTTGTCTAGTCCCTTTTTAGTTTATTATACAAGCAGTTGCTGAGTAATTTACAGAGGCTGGCTTTTCTTCACAGAATTCACTTGTATCATTCCTATAGTTTCATATGAAATGCTTTTTGCTTAGTACATGTAGTAAGTTATCCCCATGAAATAAGCAATGTTTTCATCTAAAATATGCCCAAAAGCATGTTGTGGCCCAGGGAAAACATCTTCCTGTATCAAGAAGCAAAAGAAAATGAAGCATCATGAGACTTTTACCTACAGATTAACAGTCTTAAGTACTTGTGCTGAGTACGTTTGAAGCTTTGCTTAAATCTTTTATTGGCTGCTGTCATGATTGGTTCTATAGCCTGCTGTCACAGTTCTAGAGTACCTCTCAGCCTGAGAATTAACCTCATTATTGACGGTTGCCATTCAGTTTACAGCAACAGTGTGAAAATACTGTCCTAAGTCTTGAGCCTTTTCTCACTGGAGGGAACCAAACAAAACTGAAACAGAAAAGGAGAAAAAACACTCAGACTGGAAGTAGAATAGGTGGTCTTCATGTTGTTGGTTTAAATCTTGCTGGGTTGTTTACTCAGCCTTTGAAAACCTCTGCATCATCTCACTCAGTGGGCCATTTTTGCACATTTTGATTTGCTATTTCATGTTTTCAATACTAATTTGTGGAACAAAATTTGCATCTGAAACTTCAGAAAGTTAAGGATATTTTACTGGAACAGGAAAAATGCAGATTAAATTAAATTTTTAATAAAGTACCCAAGTTCATTTACCACACAGGACCTAAGTATGTTCAGAACTAGGATGAGGTTCAATGGCTTACTTTTTACTTTTGCCAGCTCTTAAGCTTTGGTTATATTAATAATACTTAATTCCTAGCAGTCTTTTAGATCTGTTTTAATGGTGTCTGATAGTAGACATTGTACATATCAATCTGTCTTTTTTCAGCTTTAATGCACAGACCTCGGGAACGTCCTTGAACCAGATTCCTGACACTTTACAGGTTATCTGAAATAGTCATTATGTTGCTCTTTGACCTCCATGTTTTAGGAATGACATTGAGCTAATTTTCATTTATAGATTTTTTTATTGGTCTGTTTCAGATTTTGCAAGAACGGGGTTCCAGGATGTGAAGACAGTATTGAATGGTGACAATTTTTTCACTTCTATTCGAAGATGCAGTGAATTGTCACACTGAAGAGGCTTGGCTGCAAAAGGAAAAACCTGATTTAGACAATTTTCTGTTGATCTGGGTTCAACCATTTTTGCCTATAAACGGGGTGTCAACTGGCTGGAAGCATTGCAAGATTATATAATGGGAACAGATGGTGTGGGAGTGTGTGTTAAGTTTTGGTTGTAGTGCATGGTCGTACTCTCTTGTGGGCTGATTGACACTGGTCATTTGAAAAGAAATGACCATGCACTCATATTTTCCTTGAAGACATGTAGCACTTAATGTCTGGTGCTGAGTGACCCAATGTTGATCAGTCTGGAGACATTTTCCTACTAATCGATGTAAACCTTAAAAGGACAGTGCAATTGGTGCTACACACACACACACACGCGCGCGCGCGCACACACACACACGCGCGCGCGCGCACACACACACAAGCGTTACAGCCCACAAATGCAAGTATTTGGGCCTACATTGTTTCAGAATCAGTGGCAGCCCCAGCTGACTGTGTTATACTGCACATTCCTTTTGTCTCTGTGACATACATACTCTATTATGTAATAACAGCCTAGGAGATCAACTGAAACTAGCATGTGAAAAAATTACACAACAGAAAAAAGGTTTCTCTGAAGGAAGGGTGTATATATTGACTGGATTTATAGCATATTTTATCACCCAAAGGGAAGACTAAACTCAGAGAAAATGGCCTTTATCTGAGTTATTCTTGATGTTCCTTCTGTTAAAAGTCTTCTGCTAAACTTATGCTCCAGTCTTAGCCAGATGCTTGGAAGGGGAATCAAAATTCACTTAAAATGACCAACTGAACATTCTGTTTCTTTTGAGATATTTATACTCATATGTGTGTTTGTGCTTTTAGAAAATGCCTATGAGCATTGAACTATGTGGATAATGGCAGAGAACTTTCTAGAGCTGGAAGTTTTACAGAAGTATGGCAGGGTAGTCCTTAGGTCCCTGTCACTATGACTGGGATTAAAATCAACCTTAGTGTGAACCCAAGCTCATCCAACTGAAAAACATGATTACTTTGGACATTCAGGATACCTGTAATCAACCTTTCTCTTTCTATACGGTTTCAACTATGCAGTTAAAGAAGTGTTTAAAAAAATCTGGTGCAGCTTTATTAGTTTGTCCTTGATGAAGGCTAATACACTAGACTGGAGCTTTTTAATACACTATGTTTTCAGCAAAATCTTTAGCACATCTTTAAAACACTTAATGAAATGGACAGTATAAAACTTGGCTTTGTTAACTTATGGAAGCAGTGGAAGGGAGTTTCAAAAAGCTACAAGATTGTTTTGAATTCTAAAGAAAGACATTACAGTTTTCATTCTCAGTAATTTCAGAATTTATGCATATACTGTAGGTAATAACTTTACTCAAAAGCCTGATTTTCAAACATCTACTCTTTTTTTTTTATTACTTTTTTTTTAAAGGACTTACACACTGATAAAAGTTTGGCAGTGAACAATTTGTAAAAAACATTTCTACTAAGCAGGTTAAGCAATGGGCTAAATGTTTTGTCCATGTGCCTAATGCTTGAAAGGGTTTGTACTGCGTTTTGTGACTTGGATGTGGTCTGCACAGGAAGCTGCTGGCCCCTCCACAACACATACAATTTTTGTCTTTTTTTTAAGAAGTTAAAACGGAATTTAATTTACTAAAAATGTAATTGTGTAGGGGGAAATGTTTATACTTTTATACTTTTTTAGGCACCCATATTTTATCAGCTTAAATTGAACACACAAATTTCCCCTAAACAGTAAGAGATTATCTTGTGTATCTGAAAATAAGCATAACAGTTGTCTGTGTTAACTGCATATTAAAACATTTCCTCTGCTGCAGTAGTCACTGTGTTTTTAAGCAGTATGACTCCACTAAATTCTCTGAGCTCCCCAGCTCATGGATTTGCAGCCAACCACGTTACTTGTTGTTTTCCTGATGTGCTCTACAGAGTAATTCAGCGTTGTTTTTTAATGCCTAAAATGCCTGTTTTACAGTGATCCTTCTGAATCAGCATTTCTGGGTTTTATTTAACACAAAAAAGATTATTGTTTGATAAAGTGAAATTTTCTTGAATGACATCAACAAAGCATGAGTAACAAACTGAGCAAACTGAACAAATTTAGAATGTGTAAAAGAGTGGGTTTTTCTAAGTACGGGGTTTTTTCACTGGAGTATTTTCAGTTCTAAAACATGCTTTTATTATGAGATTACCTGCAGTCTAGTTTACATTGTATTCCTGTCGTAGCAGATTTTGGGGAAATGAGTGTTTATAATCATTTTGCACTTTGTTTCCAATACCTCACAAAGAAGGAAAGAGAAAAAAAGAGAAGTTTAGTAGGCAGGTACCTTGTCAATGATTTTAAATATGCCTTTGTTTGAGACCACTTGAACTAAAAAAAACTACTTTTCCGTTCTTGCTAATGTCATTATTGTTTTAGTTTTTGTGAACATGTGAGGCTTTCAGGTAGTTGGAAATGCTATTGTCAGCCTTTTTCAAGGCATTAAGAATTGATCCCTAAATAAGTTTGGTTTCTTTTTATTTGACTCTTGCAGTTTCAATAAAGTTAGCTACAGTAACAAAGTAATTGCCTTAGAGTCCTATCCACATCACCAGGGTTTGCAAACACTGCTTCCTCTTTTAAGATCTTGCAGGATGAAGTAATGTACCAATACAGTTTAAACGGGAGTCCTTTGTTTCTTTTCTGCCATTTGGAGAGTACCTACCTGAGAACTGCCTGGGACTCTGAAGAGCTGAGGGTTCACTGACAGGCTGCAGCTGAAAAGCACTCTGAATTTACACTTACATAAGAACAGTACTCCAGGTTAGAACTTAAGATGCTAAGCATGAAGAGATCGTAGTGGAAGGAGTTAAAGCAGGAGGGGAGAGATACTAAATTCCTTAATGGCATGACAAACATGACAAACTTCTTGCAAAACTTGTTTAAAAGCTGAATTCAGATTTGCCACAGGAATTTCTTGCTTTGAGTTAGGAAACAGAGAGCATATTGTTGGCCTTAAGTTTCCTCAGAGGCCATTTTCCTTTATTGGAAATGACATTTTTATACTATATGCTTTTGACTTGACTTCAAGTGCCAAGTGAATCAGAGTTTATCTGCAATGAAGCAATTCTGAGGCCTCCAAGGTGTGAATGTCATATGGTCCATAATAACTGTCCAGAAGTTTAGTCTGACTCAGCAGCTCCCACAGTAAACAGACAAAAGGTTACCTGGAATTTTGTCCCACTTACTGTGGGATCTCCATGGATTATGGCTAATTGCAAGGGGTTTATCCCACAGGAATTTGTGTGTCAAAGGCCTGATTGAATTCAGAAGCTCATATTGACTCTTTACTAGAGTGTCAGTCCTCAGAATCATATACTCATAAAATTTACAAAATGTACTGTGTTTTTTTCAAACTCAGCTTTCTTGTAATGATAAAAGTTCCTTTCATCTTGCATTGTGGTGTTAGGAAAAGATATTTCTTTAAAAAATGAAGCTCAGTGTATCCATCCATCTGACTTTTTTGTTTTCAGATTTTCTTTGGACAATAGTTGTGTAGCTCCATTTCCAGCAATGTGAATGCACAGTTACGATCAATTAGAAACAGAACTATTTCCTGCAGATAACAAAACTAAATCAATCTCATTTTTCTCTGACAGAGGTGTTTTGTTGTTTTGTTGTGTTGGGGTTTTTTTGTTTTGGTTTGGTTTTTTTTCTCCCGGGAGAAATATGAAAGCTTCTGGCAGATTAAACAAAAGAAAACTTGTTTACAGGCATGCTTTTGGAACTAGTCTGTTGAGTAGGGTGATGGTGTTATCAGAAATGTGCTTCTCAGAATGCTATTCTGTGAATATCTCTTGAGATTGTTGAGAATTGTCAGTCTTTTTTTGAGCTGTAGAGAGCTACGACCAGCAAATTAGCATATGTTTATTAAAAATTACTGGGTTTATTATTGTTACAAAAATGACCTTGGACTGCAAAAATGCAATAGTACCTGCTTCAATGAAATAACATAGAAACTGGATAACAATCATGCAGGTATACTGGGATACATTCCTTGAGAAGTACTGGGAGAAGAGTGAAGTCCTGAGCTTTTCATGAAGTCAAAGTCAAGTGAGAGTTGGAGATGAACCCTGGAATCCTGTTCACTTGAGATGTGATAAAATCGGAAAATGTCGCTCTCCTATTTTATTGTGTTTCTCGCCATATCAAAAATTTCCAAGTTTTTCAAATTAACTTCTTCGATCAGCCCTGAAGTATGGGGCTCTCAAAAAAGATATTTTGTTTGGCTCAAGACAGTAGGATTAAAACTTGAGTGGTCATTGGGAAGTGTCTTTTCTAACACAACAGATTTTAAATACTTACAGTCTGAGGATGCTACCTGTTACTTCATTGTAGTTTAGACTGCAGTTATCTCCAGCTTTAAGCACAATCTTGGGATATTACCTGGGTTTGTGTGTAGAATTATTGATTCTTAAAATAGTATAAATATTCAGTTTAAAAAAAAAGGTGGAAGGCTCTCTGAACTAAATGTCATATAACTTTTAGCTCACAAAAATCACAAACTGTCTTTAAAGGTTTTTTTACTGAACTGAGGCTTTAAAGGGCTAAATAGATATTACTGTTCAGTTTGCCTAAATGACTGTCAGAAGGAACCCATTCAATTTTTAGTGCAGAAATGTTAAGGGCTAAAATGCTTTCCAGGGCTAATGTGAAGTTGCAGAGACATACAACGTTCAAAAAGTAACTAGTCTGTTTTCTGCTCAACTCCTGGACTCTAAAATAATTTTTACAAATGGCTGAACCAATTGGAGATATAAGGGTTCCTATATGGCTTGGAATTTCAGTATCTAGATTGGATATAGGAGCACACTAGAGAAGATAGTAGACTTGCCTACGACTTTACTACTGGCCATGCTGAAATCTAAAAACTTTTATGAACCGCACTGGCAATGGAGAGGCTTTGAGGAAGATTCTGCCCTAAGAAGATGTCACAGAATATTTCTTTGCAACATAATTGTCCTTTACTTTAGCAGGGTCTACCAAGGTATAAACTTCTCAAAAGTTCAGTGAATAGATACTGCTGCAAGTACAGGTTTCTGAATCCATCAAAGAGTTCTCTTTAGGATGTTGTATATTAATAACTACTGTAATGACAGAAACTTTTTAGAAAGTTATTTAGCTACTTTGGGAGTGGGTGGAAGGGGAGGACATTCTGTGACAGTGCTCTCCTTGCCTTAGAAAGCTGAGCCTAAATTTTGACCTGACTTAAGTTGCAATTTTGAGGCCTGGTCATCTGAAATGTAAGGGTTAATGTATTTATGTACGTGATTCTTGCTACTTCTGAAGATTTTCCAAAAGCTTATGCACAACTTTACTCACAGGAATTTGGCTTTTGTACTTGCTAGAATGAAGCAAGTGCCAAGGCACTGTAAGAGAAGTGTTGCCAACCTCTCTACCTGGAACTGAAACAAGATCACCAAACTGAAGAAGTATCAAATGGCAACTTTTTCCACCTGCTTCTGACCTTAGCCTTGTCTGAATCCAGCTATGAAAAATCTATTTCCTATGCACTCTCTAGGCCCACCTACCCAATTCAACAGATGTTCTTTCTTTTTCCTACAAATCACTGCTCTCAAAATTAGTTGTGCATCAGCTGTTTGTGCTTATATCCAAGCCGCCATACTTGCAACATGTTATTTCCTGGATAGTGGATTAGCAATAACACTTTATTTTGTGCCAATTCATTATCTCTGAAGTGTTCTTACTGCAGCAAAATTTGAGTTTTGATTTGGTTTTAATGCATTTGCATTAGCCAAAACTCTTAGCACAGGCATAAACAAGAAAGTGAATCCAGGGAATTTCCCTGGAAAAAAATCTGCTAGGGCTTCCCATATAATTTAAAGGTGGTTACAGTTAACCATCACTTTTAAAACAAGTGTACAATTAAAATGTGTGTGGGTATTTTTTTAAACTCCTTTTCATAACACTGGTGTATTGTAAACTGCATGAAATAAACCTGGGTTTTCCCTTTTAAAGTCTCATGTCTTAAATCTGTTTTTTTCCAAATGGATGAATTAACAGTGTAATATCACTGATAATTCCTAGTTTAGCAATTCAGATGTAAACTGCAGTTGCATATTTGTGCAGTGATTCAAAGCAGTAACATTCTCCTTTGTAAAGGAGATGTATCCTTTACTGCTGCCCCAAAGACTTGGTCACAAAAAAGTCATGTTTATTCAGATATATCACCAGGGAAACTACTTTCCTTTGCAGTTGTTATGACTGTTGCTGATCGTTCTTAGAGGAAATAGTTTCTGGTATGGATATATATTTACACAAAAAAACCTGTACCAAGTTTTAACTAATCACTTTGCATACATTTTCTTTCACGCAGCTCACAGATCACCCTGCCTAACATCAAAGATTTTAGAATCCTAATTGCTTTTTGACAGAAATGCCTCTTCAGTCTGAAAAATTAAGCTAACTTAAACTGATGCTTTGTAATAAGGCCAACGTAGAGTATAATAAATATAAACAAGAAGCCACTTAGTACATGTTCGCTGCAGAAGTTTCAGAGATAGAAATGGCTGAAGGAAGTAAATTATTAAGTACCAAGTACAGGTTTCTGAAGATATTCAGGAAGTTTGAGAGCTGTATAGAAAAGTTCGTAATTCAGTATTAGTATTGAGAAGACCACAGACTGCTGTTCTTTTCCAAAGAGTTCCAGTAAGAATTTGAGAAGTTAAGACCCATGGTTTTTAAAATCTTAAAGGCTGTACAGTTATATATGATGTAAATTTCATCTCAACAGTTTAATCACTTTTAAATGTAAAGCACATTCTAATATTTCCTTATATATCCCGCAACTTAAGTAAAATGGTGTCATTTTACTTAACTGATTTGCCGCATTTTAACTGCATTTTATTTAACTAAAGTGCCAAGTACAAACATTGCTCTAGTAGAAATTAATAAATGTGTGCATCTGTATTTTTAACAGACTGTCTCACTAAAAGTATTTGCGCTTTACAGTCAACCAGCACTACTTCCAAACCAAATTCCTACACTATGTATCTGTTGCTTCTACTGTCTTTAGTCTCTTCACTGAGCAAAGGTGAGAGCATGAAAGGGACAAGTGTGTACCTGAACTAGAAACCAGTTTATAAAGGGGACCTAAACAAGTAAGTCAATAACATACTATTTGGATCTTTTAGAACATTTAGGGGAGCCTAATGGCTATTAGAAAGAAGTTCTTTACAGAGAGAGTGATCAGGCATTGGAATGGCCTGCCCAGAGAGGTGGTGGAATCACCATCCCTCTTGTCCTCCTGCTGATAGCCTGGGAGAAGAGACTGACCCCCACTTGGCTACAACCTCCTTTCAGGTAGTTGTAGAGAGTGATGAGGTTACCTCTGAGCCTCCTCTTCTCCAGACTAAACAATCCCAGCTCTCTCAGCCTCTCCTCATAGGACTTGTGCTCAAGTCCCTTCACCAGTCTGGTGGTTCTTCCCAGGACCCGCTCCAGCACCTCAATGTCTTTCCTGAACTGAGGGGCCCAGACCTGAACACAATGCTCAAGGTGTGGCCTCACTGGCGCTGAGTACAGGGGAAGGATCGCTTCCCTACTCCTGCTAGCCACACTGTTCTTGATGCAGGCCAGGATGCCATTGGCCTTCTTGGCCACCTGGGCACACTGCTGGCTCATGTTCAGCCTCCTGTCAATCAGCACCCCCAGATCCCTTTCCACCTGGCTGCTCTCCAGCCACTCTGTGCCCAGCCTGTAGCGCTGCAGGGGGTTGTTGTGGCCAAAGTGCAGGACCCGGCACTTGGCCTTGTGGAACTTCATCCCATTGGAATCAGCCCAACTCTCCAGCCTATCCAGGTCCCTCTGCAGAGCCCTCCTGCCTTCCAGTAGATCGACACTCCCTCCTAACTTAGTGTCGTCTGCAAATTTGCTAATGATGGACTCAATCCCCTCATCTAAATCATCCATAAAGATGGTAAACAGGACTGGGCCCAGCACTGATCCCTGGGGGACACCACGAGTGACTGGCCGCCAACTGGATGCAGCCCCGTTCCCACCACTCTCTGGGCCCGGCCCTCCAGCCAGCTCTTAACCCAGCACAGAGTGCCCCTGTCCAAGCCATGGGCTGCCAGCTTTTCCAGGAATATATTATGGGAGACAGTGTAAAAGCTTTGCTGAAGTCCAGATAGACTACCTCAACAGCCTTCCCCTCATCCACCTGATCATAAATAAGGAGATCAGGTTGGTCAGACAGGACCTGCCCCTCCTAAACCCATGCTGGCTGGCTCTGATCCCTTGTCCATCCTGTAGGTACTGTGTGATTGCACTCAGGATGATCTGCTCCATAACCTTGCCAGGCACTGAGGTCAGGCTGACAGGCCTGCAGTTTCCCGGGTCCTCCTTGCAGCCCTTTTTGTGGATCAGTGTGACATTCGCCAACTTCCAATTATCTGGGACCTCCCCAGTGAGCCAGGACTGTTGGTAAATGATGGAGAGCGGCTTGGCGAGCTCTTCTGCGAGCTCCCTCATCACCCTAGGGTGGATCCCATCTGGTCCCAAGGACTTGTGTGGATCCAGGTGGCTCAGTAAGTCTCTATTTCCTCCTGGAGTACAGGGGGGCTTCTTCTATTAATATCATCACTGCCAGCCTGGATTACCAACAGTGGATAGTAATCTGAGGTCTGAATTAGCTCAGGAAGTCTCCTACCAATGTCCCTCCCCCTGACTCCAGGAAGGCAGCAAACCTCCCTGTGGGATGGGTCTGGTCGACATATAGGGCCCTCAGTTCCCCTCAAAAGGGAGTCACCTACTACAACTACCCTTCCTTTTTTTCCTTATAGCTATAGTTGTAATCCGTCTGGTAGACAGGGTGCAACCTGCAGACAGATCTTCCTCTTGCCTGACCTCTACTTGACTTTCTGAGTTTAGGGCCTCATATCTGTTGTTCAAGGGCACATGGGGAGGTGATTGGGGTCGAGAGGGTGTTCTTTTACCTCTCCGAACAGGGACCTGTTTCCATTCACTCGGTTTGCTCCATCTGCCTGGCGGCAGGAGGGGCAGGGCATCACTGTCTCCTGCTGACTTCCTTGGGGGTCAAAAGGGTATGACTCCACCAGTCTATTTCCCTTTCACTTTCCCTAATGCTTCTCAGCCTCTCTACCTCTTCCTTGAGCTCTGCTACCATGTAGAGCAAATCACTGACCTACTCGCATCGCACACAGGTGCCTCTCACAATGTCCTCTGGCACTGCTGCCAGGGTCAAACAGTCTGCACAGCCAGAGACCTGAATGGCTGCATCCTTCTTGGAGGGTTCTGTCTGTGTCAATATACTCCTAGTGGTAACAGTAGCGATGGCTTTAATTTTTTTAGAAACCATTACTGGCTTTAGTTGATATACGAGGGGAAAAAAACCTCCAAAACAAAAAAACACCTAGAGTTCATCTGGAGCTAGTTTTCCTTTCAGTCGGAAGTTTAACTTCAGAAAGATGAAAGTGACCCTGCAAATTCATCTTTCAGTGTGCTGCAGTCTTGCCCGGTAGTAATAAACACATAGTCCATATTTATGTGATGTTCTCCAAGACTGCAGTCTTCGCAATTTCATGAGATAGATCTTGTCAGCCGAGTGGGAACAGTTTCCACTGCTTTTGATAATATCACTGAAATTGCTAGGAAAGGTGCACAAGGGGTGTGTGTTTGTCCTGGGCTGCCGTGGGTATTTGCTGCCGGTACAAGTTTTTTCAGCCAGAGGGACCTTCAGCACACGCTGTGACGAGGGCTCACTCAAATCTACGTGATTAGTTATTGAGACAGTCAATTCTAGAGTTACCATAACCCCTGTGGACTCTAATAGTACCCAGCACACAGTTCCAGAAGCACCGACACAGCGGAAGGCCCAGCCAGGCAGAGCATCCGGGACTAGATATTCCTCCATTAAAATCAGAAATATAACTCAAAAGACGAGATCAGAATGTGACTCATACTCTGACACTAAAAATGCGTTCTTGGAAACCGACACCAACCACCCACCCTCCAAAACCCGAACGGACCCAAACCCCACAAAGGTATCACGGACCTACTGCGTGGTCGGAGCCCGCCCCGCGCCCTCCCATAGGTCGCGCCGCCTGCCCATCACCAGAGTAAGGGTCCACCCTCCAATCAGAGGCCCGGCTGGACACAGTGGGCGGGGCTCGGCAAAACCGCGCGCTCCCGCCCGCCGAGGGACTGGGTGTTCTCAGGGTGTAGGCGGGTCCCGCGGCGTCGGAGGTAAAGGTTGCCCCAGTTTTCGGCTGGAACTGGCGGGAGCTAGGGGTGCGAGGAGGGATCGGTCCTGGGGGAGTGCCGCTTGAATTCCTGCCGGCGCTTCGTGCTCAGGCATCGTCCTGACACCTCTGGGTCTTGTATCGCGAGGGTGCGTAAAACGTGGCGAGTGGTGGGCGGTGCGCGACGCGGACGGGTCGGTCCGAGGGACATAACAGTGCTGTCACGCTCCGCTCTCGGGCGAGAGGGAGGGAAACTCCGGAGTGGAGACAAAAGGGGGAGGGGGGGGGAGCGGGAACATCCGGGTCATTCGCGCGGCCTCGATCCGGGACACGCGCGGCGGCGGCGGCGGCGGCGGCGGCTCTCGGTGAGGCCCGGCCGGGAGCGGGGCCGAGAGCGGGGCCGAGAGCGGGGCCGGGAGCGGGGCCGGGAGCGGAGCGGAGCGGAGCGGGGCGGGTGTGGGCAGGGCCGACGGCTCCTGCCTGCGGCGGGTCGGGCCGGGCCCGGCGGCCACAGGCGTGCGAGCCCGGCGGCTCCTGCCCTGCGGCCGGGCCCGGAGCGCAGCGCTGCCCGCCTGCGGCTGCGAGTGCCCCGCGCGTCTCGGTGGCGGAGGTCGCCCAGGAGGGCCGGGAACCTCCGGGCCTACGCGAGCCGGGCCCGCCCCGCCGGGCACTCGCCCGGGATCTGCGGGCGGGCCCGGGGTGCCCCGTGCAGGCCTTGGGCCGTCCAGCATCGAGCCCATTGGCGCGCGGCATCTCCTCTTGTTCTCCGTGCGGCTCCGGTCGCCGCTTGGCGTCTTCAGCCTTTTTCTTGCCGCAGGCAGAGAAGACTTTCTATCCCAGTCCAGAGTTGGCTTTGATTAAATCTCAGCCCATGGCTTTCTGCACCCTTATGAAAAATAAAGTCTGTACAGTTTGGGAGCAAACTATTCCCATAATAATTTGTTCCTATGTCAGTATTTAACCTGCAAAGTAAAAATTTGAGGCTGGTAATCTGAACGTTTTGGGGTTTCTTTCTTGCTGTTTAGAATTAATAAGACCTATTGGAAATTCTTGAAACTTATGATGTATTTAGATATATGATGTTTTTGATGTATTTTTTTGATATATGATGGTTTTGATGTATTTAGAGACTTATCTGTGGCACTGGAATGGTTCTTTGCAAGAATTGCATTTTGTGTGTGGCAGGAGGTTGTTCCCTCCCATAAGAGGATGTAAATGGAGAAGATGTTCTATAATGGAACACAGAAGTTTTCACTATGATGCGTGTATTGGGATTTCTTTGTCCTTTTTCCAAAATAGGCAGTAATAGCAGCAGGGATAAGCAACTGAGTAGATCTGGAAGTTTCAGTTAGCTTTCTGAATTGATAGGAGACACTGCTACCTCTTAGTGCCAAGGTGTGTTTGGGAGATTAAACTCACAGCGCGAAAACTGGTCTCTTAGACTTGTGTGGCATGTACAGGGTAGGGTTGATAGACTTCCTCTGATGCAAAATTATTTCCAGTGATGTAGGACATAAATAGATTGGGATATAGAGAGTAAATATTGGCAGACAGATTGCTTTTGAGGGGGTGCTTATCTAATGAGATCTTAATTTTTGGAATGGGCTTTCAGTCTCCGCTGTCTAATCTCTATTTTCTAGTAGACTGTGATGAGGTTTTAGATGCTTTTCTGCCCATGTCAGTATAATTGAAGCCTATGGAAACCATACACGTGAAGCCTGTTGTCTCGCTCATACACTGAAACCTTGGATGTAGCCTGTCAGTGCTGAACTAAGTCAAATGCCTCAAGATTTGAGAAGATATTTGTAGAACATAAGAAAATCTTTAATGTACTGGGCACAGTATAGTGCATAACAAATGCAGGATGCTTGGCCTGAAAACTGAGTGGTTTGTCCTGAGAAGTTACTTGATTGGCCATGTTCTGTAGGACATACACTGGTTATATGCCCTGTGAAAAACTGACATTTCCCTTGGGGTACATGTAATTAATTGGCTATTAGCCACAGGAAATGGAATTCATGTATTTGAAAGCATGCTGTAATGTGTCTTTTGGCAGAAAAGGTAGCTGATTTACTAATCTAAGAGTATTTGGATAGTTTATAAGCAAAAAATAGTTTTCTCAAACTGTGATGGGAAGGTTGGTATTACTGGACCACCTAGTACCAACAGAGCAACTGAAATCTTGCTGTACAGTCAGTAGTTTGTTTACATCTGTTGCAAGTGTGTGGGCTCACAGCATATTTAAAATTATTCCCTGTATAATTTGGTTAAGGGAGAGGGGTTTTTTTGTTCCACTGGTACCTTTTTCCGTGGCTCTGCATCTCCTGCGTGTGAACAGACTAAAACCCAAAGTTGTGTACTGTTTGTGTTGACAAAGTCCTGCAAATCTCCTGACATAACTCAGATACAGGTGCATGTGTTGGGAATTCTAGAGGAAAAATTGGACAATATAGGATTTTTGTATGTGCAAGTTCACTGAGTGTTAATGGTCCCTTTTAAAAAGCTTTATCTGACATTAATTTAGTGCTAGTTTGAAGGTGAAATTAGGGATTATGGCCCTGCACGCAGAACTGACTGTAAAAAAGAAAAGAGGAAAAAAAAAGGTGGAAGAAGGGATTTGAAATACCCATTGTCCTAGGAACTGCATAAAATGTTTAATCTGGTGCTTTTAAAGAGCTACAATCGATATAGTAATTGTAGACTGCAATACTCTTATAAGTAATCTACATGTTAAAAGACTAAAATTTTGCATAATGCTTAGCAAATATTTGTTTCAATAGAGTGGTAATACTACTTTCATTAATTCTGAGGTGGTTAAGGGTTCTAACAGTAAGAGAACAATAAGAGTTCTACTCTCCTGGCTGTCATAAAAGCTTGTGAGCGCTACATGTGGAGTTGAGAACAAGTTGGCCTGACTTCTCCCACTGCCAATTATCAGCTCATAGGATGGGTAAAAGTGCAGCTGGGAGGAGGATAAAAAACCTTCATTGGTGATTATTTTGACCATGTAGCTAATGAAACCGTGAGTTTAGATAGTTTGACAATGAAAAATAAACTCTTGCTTTGGGTACTGTTGTGGGTAGATGGAGAATCCTCCCCTGTATTTGAAAGCACCACTCATGCAACCATCGTGTCTGGAACTGCTCTGTGTCACGCAGCAGTGACCTGTGCTCTGCATGTTTCTTCTGCAGCCTTGGTCACTTTGCTTGGCTGTTACTGAGGCAGTGAAGGTGCGGAGATATCATTCAGTTGATACTGGAATTGAAAACCTGTCTTGTGGAATGAGCCGCTGGTTCTTCCTTAGCTCAATTCTGTATTGCTGTCTGTTCCTGCTGTTGTCTAGAAGTTGTATAGTGGCATCACTGCAAAAGTGATGTGACTTTGCTAAGTTCTGTGCCTGTGTTGCTTTTGTGTGGAATAGTGGCTTTCAAAAGGAATTTACCCTAAAAGTAACATTTCTTATTCTCATTTGCCCGAAATTGGAGAAGTACAGGTGTTTGCCTGCAGAAGAAAACCATTCCTTATGTGGTGTAGGAAGGAAATAAAGACACATTTATCAGTTGCACAAGTAGGAAGTCTGAGCACTTTTCCCATTACTAACAGAGTTTGCGTTGTCAAGCTGCTGTCAAAGTTGCTTCTGAGATGTAGTTCAAATATAAAGCAACTAGGTAAGGATAGAATTTTGTAGATCAAGTCCAGTAACTAAGAACTTGATGACATGGGGAAACTTGATGTTATTCCTGATGCTAAATTCCGCATGGTGTGCAAAAACGTGTCTTCAGTTCAAGCAGTTACAGAACTGAAAATCAGAGACCAAAATAATTCCTAAGTGAGCAGGGCTTATAAACAGATATATAACGTGTTGTTTACATATAAGTAAAAGTTTATGCTAAAAACAATTACTTTTGTTTTAGAGGGACTCTGAATATGTCTGGCATAGCTCTTAGCAGACTTGCACAGGAGAGAAAAGCCTGGAGGAAAGATCATCCATTTGTAAGTATGAGAACTGCCAAATTTCTGACTTTGCAGCTGTTTTGGTGTTCTGGTGATGATTTTTCTTTACCCTGATGGGATTTCTTTAAAAATATTTTTTTTTTAATAAAAAAAAGCTACTTAAAAACTACGTAGTGCAAAAAGAAGTAACTCTGTGTAAAGATAAAGAATGTCATGAAATATTTTAAGTGCATCTTCTGAAATCCTCACCCTTTGGCTTTTTGCCTTAATTCAGGGATTTGTAGCAGTACCTACAAAAAATCCAGATGGCACAATGAATCTAATGAACTGGGAGTGTGCTATTCCAGGAAAGAAAGGGGTAAGACTTACTGTTCTCCTAACTTCTCATTTATGGTGAAAAGTAGCATAAATCTGCTCATGCATTACACCAACAATAGAGAATACAAATTACATTTAGTTTAATAAAAATGTCTGGATCCTGCTGCTACTTTAGAATCCAAGTGCAGTGGGGTGAGAATATTGGACAGAATACACTATGAGCCTGTTCAACCTGACCACCTTAAGAATAAAAGTTTTCAAAGGAGTGTGTAAGAATCTTGGATTGAACAAACTGGAGATTGTCTTCTGCTTCATGTCAGGGTTTTTTGTGATTTCTGTTCTTACTAAATGTTGTTTTAAGCCCTAAATGTTGAAAATAATTACTACCAAAATGTTGCCTCTGCTGCGTTAACTGCCTCTGCTAGTTAATAGTGAGATCCCTCAGAGAAGTGCACCATTTTTGTCTTTTTGGATTTCATGGAAAATAATTTGTGTTATTTACGTGGAATCTCATTGCTTTCCATTTTATGGAACTCTCTCTTTTTGTATTGGGGAAAGAAGATAGAGCTCTCTAATGATGTTTCTTTTTGTCTGATTTCACTTGTGCTTCTGTGTCCCTTTCCTTAAAATAACAAGGGAAAGGAAAAAGTCTGTAGAGACCAGAATTGTTAATTTTTATCAACTTGATCTGGTTCTGGAGGACAGGACAAATGCAAGCTTTCTAATGAAAATAATCATT